AAAAATAAGATAAAAAAAACAAAACAAAGTATAAATAATTTCATATAAAAGTTAAAATGCTTTCCAGACTAGTAAACCATTGGAGCTTGTTTGATGTCTTTGAAAGATTATCAGTAATCATTAGTCTGAGAGCATTCAAAGGGACAACTCCCACTTTCCCCAATTCTTGGATTCTTCAATATAGAAAAAGTTTGACACTAGCTAAACCAAATCTTCCACAAATGCTCATATCTTGTATGAAGAAGAATGTCAAGACTTGTGGACATACAGGACAAGGAAATCAGAGAGCTCACATGTAAAAAGTGTTATATCTACTTAGCTTTGAATCTAATGCATCACAGTCCCTAAAAATGGCACGACAGATGACTAGTTGTGTAAAAATCATAAAAGTGATGTATAGAAAAGAGTTAACAGACCTGTTTACCTAAAATTCATCAATAAATGAAATTGAAATTCCTGCTTACAAGGTTGGTCCTTGGTTGGTCCTTGGTATATATTAACTAGGGTTCTCCAGAGAGAAAGAACCAATAGGAGATAGAAAGAATAGATGGATGGATGAGAAGGAATTTGTTAAGGGAATTGGCTCATTAGATTATGGAGGCCGAGAAGTTCCATGGTACGCCTGTCTGTGAGGTGGAGAACCAGCGAAGCCGGTAGGTAGCATGGCTTAGTCTGGGTCTGAAGGCCTTAGAACCAGGGAAGTCAATGGTATAACTCTCAGTCTAAAGCTGAAGGCTGAGAACCTGGGGGTTGGTGGTGCAACTTCTGAAGTGCAAAGGCTAGAGAACCTGGAATTCTGATATCCGAGGGCAGGAGAGAAAGGGTATTCCAGCTCCAGGAGAGAGAGAGAGAAAATTTGCCTTTCCTTTGCCTTTTTTCCTTTGCCTTTCAATTGGCCCTCAGCCAATTGAATGGTGTGCCTACCCACGTTGGATGAAGGTGGATCTTTCTTAGTCCACTGATTTAAATGCCAGTCTACGCCAGAAACCCCCTAACAGACATACCTGTAAATAGTGCTTTAGCATCTATCTGGGTATCCATTAATCTACTCACTTTGACACCTAAAATTAACCATCATGGCTAGCATCTGAGAACTGGGATTTGGGTAGGGGTCCCACTATGCCGCTTAAAAGTGACTCATTGTGCCTGAACAAATGTACAATGTGTTTCATACTGAATATTTGCTTTCCTTCTGGGAGGCTGGAATTTTGATATGTGCCAGACTGAAGGTGAGTACATTATTAGCCCTTAATAAAAACCTTGGGTACTGCATCTCTAATTAGAGTTTCTCTGGGAGATAACATTTCACATGTGTTATCACAACTCATTGCTGGGGGAATTAAGCATGTCCTGTGTGACTCCAGTGGGAGAAGACTCCTGGAAGCTTGTGCCTCGTTTTCTGTGGGCTTTGCCCATGTGCCTTTTCTCTTTGCTGATTTTGCTCCCTTATTCGTTCACTGGAATAAATCAAGGTAGCCATGAGTATGATTATATTCTGAGTCCTGTTGGTCTTCCTAGCAAATCATTGAACCTGGGGATGGTCTTGGGGACCCCCTAATGCAGAATTTTAGTTCCTTTTAGGAAATATATTCCTTTGCTGATTAGGAAAGAGATA